ATATCAGCATCCTAAATTTTGATTTGATGTTTTCTTTTCAAAGTCAAGCCTCCAAGCTGAAGGACTGAATGATGCACTGCAGATGCTGTCTGACCAGTTTCCCTTTAGAAAGTCTACCCAGACCCTGACTCTCCACTTTATCCTTCACTTTATCAACATCAGCTAGCAGAGTGTTGATATGACCCTGAGGCCGACGAAACGACCAAACTCATCAGCATGTATGATATGTTCAGAAGAAGGCTGTTAGATCCTTAAAGATATGTTTTTTGTGCTTAAAAAGCTAGGTGTTGAATGTAAACTAAACAAAAAAACAAAACACCAGATACATGTTGGTACATCAACGATTGATTTAGTAAGATGTAAAATCAGGAGCCGATCATATATAACACTATTTTTGGGGAACACAGAGATGTCCGAGGCAAATTGGATTATACATAAATCACTGATAAAATCCTCTCGTTTCTAAATGCTGAACACTTTGCAAATTTCAACCAGAATAAGAGCTCAGATGGAGACGTTTAAGGGAGCATTACAAAAGAGTTGAGAGGAAAATTAAACCATAGCTAAAAGGTTTCTCCCAGTCAGCATTAAGGCAGGAACATTCATCAAGTTTATATCCAGAACAGCTCTAACATGGGCTCTTAGTAAAAAAAAAAAAAACATTTAAGAGTTTTATCAGGCCAAACAATAATGAGGTGTACCATCCATTGCATCACTGGTCATCTGTCTACTGAAGAAAGAAAAAGAGGAGAATTAAAGCACTCTGGACTGATTATGCTAATAAAAATGATGTGTACAGGAAAAATGCCATTTTTTATATATTTGAAAAAAGTTAATCAATTTGTTAAAGAAATAAGTCTTCTTATATATGAGAAGATTAAACTGTTGTTCACTCATCAGAATGTTATTGGTGCGATGTCGTGTCCCAAAGCAATAAAGTAGACGAGAGTATCACCCCCGAATATACAAAATAATGTTGATACAAAGTAAATACAGAGAATTTTCATATTTTCATGCAAATATAAGAGGTACTCTACTTTGACTGTTAGAAAGAATTGCTACAGCTGTTTCAACTGCCTTTATGTACGGAAGAGGATTAGGGCCACTGAAAAAAAAAAAAAAGTTAACTGATTTTTAAATTTTATTTCAGTTTAACATGGGAAAAAAGTCAGAATTCTGACTTTTTTTTCCAGACTTCTGACTGAATTCTGACAATAAAAAAGTCAGAATTCTGAGAAAAAAGACAGAATTCTGACTTTTTTTTCCCATACTATACTGAAATAAAAAAAAATCTGTTCACTTTTTTTTTTTCCAGTGGCCCTAATGCTCTTCCGTATTTATGAGACTCTGTTGACAAAAACTGAATTTATTTTGAAAATGTTGTTGTTTGATAAGAGGAAGGATTCTGAGAATGTATTTCAGGTCTGGAAAAGCACCAGGCGAGAAAAATAATGGATCATTTTACACATTTAATGAAGCATCAGCCAAGAGATGACATTGTCATGATTTAGGAATGATACCCTCAAAACTACTAAGATGGATGGATTGCCAGACGTTGTATGGAAGTTTTAGACATTGGAATAAGAAATAACATTCAGAACTAAATAATAAGCATGCAGCATACTGTATGCTCCAATGCCACACTTATCCAGATGAGGACAATACTGAAACCTTTATTTTCAAAAGCTTAAAAAAAAAGTCAGGGAAGTGTTGA